CGCTCCAAGGCATAAATCGGGTGGTCTTTGAAGTCTTGGACATTTCGCGGCATCGGCTCTCTTGCCTCAACGCTAGCGAGTTCATTATCCTCAATCTGGTCGAGATCTGTCGGCCGCCGTTGACGATACATGTTCATTACTTTCCGCCACCACAGGTCCCCGCCCTCTGTCGTGGTCTCCACTCTCAACTTGCGAGTCTTGGCCGTGTACGCTTTGGCATATCTCTTCGTCACATCTCGCGCGGTTCCATCAGCGTCGAAAGCTACCACATATGACATGGAGTTTTCTTTGTCCGTTATGGGAGGTTCCATCCCCTTGGGCTTCCAGAACGTGTGTGTGACCACCGGGTCAACAGGTTGCCACTTCTGATGACCGACGTCAAGGATCTCAACCCAATACACCGGGTACGACGACTCCTTGATTCTCTTTGGTGCGTCAAACGTAGGGCGCGGTTTTGGTGAAGCAGGCTTTGGCTCAAAATTATATGCTGTTGCGTTGGGATGACCCAGTCTCCGGCGGGCAGTAGAGCCACCGGATGGAGAGCCGTAGCCGGCGTTTGCCATCTCCTGGTACTTGGCCATAGTGGCTTGCACCTGTTCCTTTTTCAATGCCTTTGATGTTGGTTTAGTTGGTTTCGGCTTGGGGAGTGTGGGGGCACCGGAAACGCAGGCCAGCGGTTGAAGTGAGCAAACAAGTCGTGCTCGAACTCCTACGCTCCGTAGAAGCGCGCAGTACAGCTGCGCACCAACATCACGGGAGCCTTGCAACGCCTTTGCCGCCTCGCGAAAGTCGTCGCGGTCCACACACGACTCCATATCGCTAGGGGGCTCATACTATTCGTGATTAGCAAAATCCGTCAACATAGACGTCGACATACCTCTTGCAGATGCTCTGGCTCCTCGGCCCACAGAGCCCTCCTCAGACCTCTTTCAGTGACCTCAAACTTTGTGGCCCAGACTCCCTCGGCTTGTTTCAGTCCTGTTTTGAGACTCTCAGTTCGTCCAAACTGAGAGAGTTGTACCCCAGGGTTCAAGTACGAAGCCGTTTTATCAGTGAGATGTGGACGTAAATGATCCTGCACCCTGTGGTCGTTGCACCAGTGATTGCGACGTGCGACATGCGACAGAAGACAAAGAAGGTGAGTTTTGTGAATGTCGGCTCTCCGTTCCCTCTCTTCCTTAGTGAGAGGTTTTCGTCTTTCCGCGGTTTTCTTCGCCTGGGCTGTGGTGGACTGTTGGGCCGTGAGGTTGAGGACCAACTCCAAGGGTTCTTGGGTGGTGGGAATTTCTTTAGGGAGTACTCCAAAATCAACGTCTTCAAATACAATGTCTTCATCTTCGTCCTCGTCTTCAGATTCCAACTCCATGGTTTGCATGGTCGGCTCTGGTAAGACGACATCCTGAAACTCGATGTCCTCATCCTCGGAATCTTCGTTGACCTGTATTGTCTGGTCGCCTTGTGCGGCTCCGGAGCTTGATGCTGGCTCTTGCTCTGATACTTTCTCTTGCACTTCCTTCTCTGCAGGTTTCTCTTCTCGACTTGGGCCTGCGCGACGCCGTTTCAGCGGCCGCGCAGGTGGGCTGCGATCCTGGGCATTCACGCCAGCCTCGGCCAACATGTCCTGGTAGACATCCGGCCCGCTCGGTGTCCCCGCAGCCAGCCTGCTACTGGCCCTTGTAGTCCGCTTCCGACCGGCCATGATCAGACCATTCTCAGGAGGCCTCCGTTGGGGTTGAGAAGGTGCCGCGAGTGAAGCGCGAGTTGCGTGTCAGTGCATTCTGAATCTGTTGCGTCATCATGGAGTCGCGAAATGATGCGCGAAGTCACGTGATTGTTTTAGACACTTAATGGATGAATTGGTCAGCACTTATTTCCCCAATCGTCCATCAGCACTTTAACGCAAAAACATGGCAACAAGAGATTGATTCCATATTGAACGATGATGTAAGTATCATTTACTTGGAGCTCAGGGCTGAACTTTCGTGATTAAGTCGAAGTTGAGATAGAACCCTTTGGAACTAACATCTTGTTTGCCTCGGCTCGGGTGGGCCGACGCCCCAACGTTGCAACGTCAATCGCCACGCCGTTATGTCATCAATTCGCGATGGAGGCATTCGGTGTTGTGCAAAGCGCGAGCTTCATTGCGCTTTCGTCACAGGTCCGGAATGCGACGAGGCAAAGTTAAGTTTCTTGTAAGCTTGATCAGTACCGTCCAGCCCAAACATTTCAAATGTTAATTCGTGACTTCCTCCACTCGTACAGATACTTCTGAATGTGCTGTAAAATACTCGGAGGATCTAGTATCCGAGACATGTTGTCCTAGCACATGTGCATACCAAGCTGCGAATAAAGAGCTCCTGTGCCCAATCCAATATAACATCTTCTTTGTGGACGACTTGTGCAAGATAACATTTGTAATCTTGTGGCTGCAATGATCCGGCGAACCTCACCGAACTGCGGAGCCTATGATAACCAAGTCCGGTCCGTGCCCAATTTTATCAGCAATGTCCGACGGACGATTACATACAATTCCGGTCCACGATATCCCTCAGTTATGCAGCCCCTCTGCGGCTGCAGGTGGACACCCTTCATAATTACTTAGCACGTAATGCCTTCAAGACCCATGGTTCAGAAACTCCGTTGCCGATTTTGCCGTCATGAGAGGCCACCAACCTGATGCCATCCCAGTACACCCTACTGGCTTGGAGAAGGGTATAAAGCCCACCATGTAGAGCCTCTCGAAGTCCATCTTTTTCAAGCTCTCTGTTGCATAGCTTGCGTTACATCCATCAATTACCCTATACATTTATCTTTATTCACAATCATGACTGATAAGCGGATTGTTCTCGTGACTGGTGCCAATGGCTACATTGCCGGCCCAGTCATCGAATTATTTCTCAAGGCAGGGTACGCCGTGCGTGGAACGGTTCGATCCAAGGCTTCTGCAAATGCTCTCGTTGAGGCGCTATCTCAATACCGCGATAATCTCGAGATTGTTGAGGTACCCGATATTGTTGCCCCAGGGGCGTTCGATACGGCCGTCAAAGGTAAGTGTATTGTTGAATAACTCGCCAACTTGTCTCTAACGTCCCTTTCAGGAATCCATGCCATCGCACATTTGGCTTCCCCCGTGAGCTTCAAATTCACGGACCCTGATCCTGTCCTGGAGGCCGCGGTGGAGGGAACTCGCGGCATCTTGGAGTCCGCACTTAAGGAACCTTCCATCAAGAGCGTCGTCTTGATGTCTTCCATTGCTGCCGTCATGAACAAGAAGGAAGATTCGCCTCGCTTCACTGAAGCAGATTGGAACACTGAGGCCTTGGATCAGGTCAAGATCCTCGGCAAAAAGACCCCTGGCCCACTCATTTATGTGGCCAGCAAGGTTGCCAGCGAGCGTGCATTCTGGGAGTTTCGTATTGAGAAAAAGCCTTCCTTTAGCATGAGTGCCATCAACCCTACGTAAGTTTTACATTCCGAATAGCATTGCGGTTCTGACATGGTACACAACAGCTTTGTCATGGGTCCACCCACAGCAGCCGAATCTTTATCCAAGATTGGTGGGACGACGGCTTTTATCTTGCAGATATTCTTAGGACAAGAAATCCCCTTCCCCATCTCACCCAACCCTAGCTTTGTTGATGTCCGAGACGTTGGTAGAGTCGTCGTCTTCGCAGTCGATCATCCCGACAAGGTAAACGGAGAACGCTACATCTTGGCGAAGGGAATGGTTCCTCCTCAGGCAGCTGCCGATATTCTCCGCGAGGCATTCCCCAATCGAAGGGATATCATCAAGGAAGGCACACCTGGTGAGGGTTACTACCCAGGGTTCGCGTTTCCAGAGAACAGAATCATCGACGGATCCAAGGCAATCGAGGTGACGGGGCAGCCTCATTACGCAGTGGAACAGACGATCATCGACACAGCCAAGTTTCTGGAGAAATTCCTTTGAGTTTTTGGAGTTGCAGGAAATAATATTGCGCTATGGGCGTTGGTGTGAATAGGCTCGAGACGATACATAATAATAATCTACTTGTGATACTACGTGTCGCGCATGACTGATCGGGTGGGGACGATGCTCTATAAATACGGCGCAATAGGCCGTCGAGATGAGCACACTCTGTCCGCTCCTCAACGTCCATTTTTATACTTTTCCAGAGGATCACTCATCGACTCGGTTGCGCTCCTCGTAAATCCTTTTTCCAATTCTCGTGGCTCCCACTCTCGATCAAAATGCCCCTCATTGACGCCGATACCCCGCCCTCGGACGCTGCGACTCATTACGTCGTGTACTTTGCGTCTGGCGAGCCATCATGGTGCCCAGACTGCCGCGACGCCATTCCTGCTCTCAAGAATGTGTTTGGATCTGACTCTGCTCCGACAGCTCACATTGTCCGTGTGGGGTCATTCCAGGAGTGGAGGGGCCCCAAGAAGAACAAGTATCGGGGTGAACCTTACAACATTCAAGGAGTTCCGACAGTCGTGAGAATCGAAAATGTGAGTTTGCAGTTCTTTCACAATTCGTTTATTAATTAATCTTCATAGGGCAAGGAGGTTGCTCGTTTGGGTGATGTCGAGAGCCAGCAGGAATCTGCGTTACGACAATTGATTGCTTGATCCAATATCCCTCATGTAACGGTGGTCGTGTATCGTTGGAAATTTGTGTCACAAAGGTCCAGGTAGCAATATAGAAGCATACAATATTCAGATTCATCACACCTTGTGCCAGGACCCAGGTGTCAATTAATCTGGTGACGCGGATCTACACTTGGTTACAACATGATGAAACGATCACAACGCGGGCATGGGGAAATAGGTGCGGTAGAGAGGTGCAGGTGATTGTTAGTGCATCCGCGCACGGGCCACCCGACCTTGCCCGTGTACGGGTTCCCACAGAGGCCACCAAAAAAAAATGATTGTCGCTCATCCAAGCCGTGATCAACGAAACACTACATCTTTGGTGAGCTCTCACTCCACGAAATAAATCCCAAAAAATAAACGATTGCAGCTGATGAGAATCGAACTCATGTCGCCAGTGTTTTGTAGTCCACAAACTGGTATACTGACCACTATACTACAGCTGCGTGGTGTTTCATTTGTTGTTGTGGGCTGGTCTGATATTGGAGTACATAAATTACTCCACCCACACAAGTTGAAATCCACTTTGTAGGTATATTACATAAGTATTCCTTATTTTTGTACTAAATTTTAATCAAGTTCTTTCTACTTAAATGCTTTTGTTTCTTGCTGGAACGGTTAAGTGCTGGTATTTAAATATTGGACTGAACAGACACTCACTCTGCCAATTCTCGTCCAGTTGAATAACTCATTCGTCAAAAAATATATAGAAGTAAACATAAAAGAACTGTCCCCTATGGTGCTCCTTCTTCCGCCTTGGAATCACTCATCTAGTGTCGGTGTGATGGGCCGGTTGGGGGTTTTTCCACCAATTGCTTCTTTTCCTGCTCATTCTCTGATTTTCTCGGATCCCTCTCATCGGTCTGAATCAATGTATCTGTCTTTAACGACAATCGCCTGGAGACACTGTGTCCCTGGATTGAACCATCTGGGCGGCATTGGTCGCCCATCGGAGGTAGGCTCGGAGGTAGGTTCGGAGGCAGGCTTGAAAGTGGGGCCGGGATCCGGCCCCATTTGTCGGCGACCAGATTACTCCAACAGGCGACCACAATGCTGCGCTGGACTATGATCAAAATAGTCGAGTATTGCTATTCGTAGAACCCTATTTTGCTAATCGTACATCCTTTTTTTTCACCCTGCATTGTGTATCTTCCCCCGTCACATCAAATTTACAGTATGAGCCAGAGAACGCCCTGAATTACAGGGCAAAATCCCCTGCAGCCCACCCACGCAACTATCCCATCTCTCAACACCACGCTTGTGACACCACGTTTTCTTTGCCTTGTAAATCTATTTCTTCGGCAATCGTTATGGTCGAGCCCCTTGAGGACTTAAATGCTGTTAGCAACAATACGATAGCATCGGCAGCGACGGCAGCGTCCGCAGCGCCGCTGTTATCAGCCGTCGAGGAAGTCATCCCGGCGGGCGAAAAAGGTGGGGACACATGGCAAAGGTTGTACGAACAGCAATACTCATATGCAATTGCGTGTGGTTAACTGGTTGGGTCATCTTGAACGCAGCCAAGACGGTAATACGGATGTCGGATTTCGCTAGAGTAGAAGTCGGCTGGACTGAAGTAGCATGTTTTCACAGCGTCACCTGCGCTACGCAACAAGGATGCTAGGCAACCCCGTCAGTCCTCTGGGGGTTTCTCCTCTACGCGTCTTCAACCCATCAAAATGCCGCCTCACCCCCCCAACCTCGACCGCCTCAAAGCCCTCCTGGAAGGCAACCTTCGAAGAGCTGGCCTTCACGGCCAAAGATTTTCCGCCCAGGGGCTGGAGACTGATGTCTCCAAGCCCCTTCTCCGATGAGGAGTCCGACGATGACGCCGCGGACCTCCCTCCCTCGTCGCCGCTCAGCGGCAACAGCAACAACAGCGCTGCTGCTGCTGCTGCTTGGCAGCGAGTGATCAGACGAGAAGGCTTGTTAACTAAAGCCGCGACAACATCTTTTTTACTCGGTCTCAGTAGACCACAGGCGGAAAGCCCCCGACCGCAAAAGTCGACTCTTCGAGGCCTAAGTCGACTCTGGAAGGCCTGGGCCATCCTTTGGGGCCATGCACCGCTCCAGGAAGGCCGCAGGATAGTTGGCGTTGCAGGCTCCCGGCGCTTCGGGTGAAATAAATCTTCCTTGGCCATAGGACTTTGCCAATGCCTTCTGAAGGACCATGCTGGCCGTCTCTCTCCCGAGTCAAAGTGAGCACCAAGTGAGAAGAGACGAGCGGAAGCAGTCGACCTAGGCAGTGATTCACTGGCGCTGTGCAACGCGATTAAAATCTTCACCCTGCCTTGGCGAAAGCCTCTCTCCTTTCTTTCCTCTTCAACTCAAACCAAATTCGCGATGTCGTGCGCCTCCAACTCCCCAAACACCGACAACCTTGTGGCCCTCCTGGAGGAGTGGCTGGCACCAGATTCTGGGCCAGCCCCCCCAGATCCGGCATTGACCGACGAAGAGTTTGCCGACCTCGTCAACGGCGCTCTGCCTGGGGCCTGGGTTCCATGGAACCCAGGTTCGTCAACTCCAGAGCCTCCTCCTCCCTCCGCCGCCTCCTCCGCCTCTCCCTCCGCCTCTCCCTCTGTCGCCGCTCTCTCTTTGGCGTCCTCCTCCTCCACCACCATCTCCAAGCCCGCCGGCGGGCCGCGTCGCGGCTTTGTTTTCCGTCTCTGGCGCTGTTTGTGTTGTCTCCCTTCCCACTCGCGTTCCGAATAAAGTATATCTCTCCCAGACCCTCTCAGAAAAGTTGCTTAGTTGCTAACGTCAGACACTAGAATACGACGTTGATACCCGGTGCTGGCCGTTGGGTGTTGCCTTGGTGTGGGATGAGGGGCTGTTATAGTGTCAATGAAAAGGGTTCGCGACATCTGAATGCTGCCTCCAGAATAACGTGACGTGTGACGTAAAGACCCATGGCCCGACGACTTCTTACTCAAGTTCACATCTATCTTTCTCCCCCGTCTATTACCCGTCTACCAGTTATCTAAGGCAATTGTGCTACTTGAGCAGTCAACCAATACCAGCGCCATACTACAAAGCTCTCTTCCATGCCATGAAAACAGTCCTGGGGCTGTTGCTGCGGGTAGACCCAATCTCGCCGCCATCGCTAGATGATCTTCCGTATCAACCGGGATTATATATTTTTTAACATTTTTTAAAGCCGTCTTCGTCTTGTTGTGGGCTCCATTCTTACACTTGTCGTGGATTTCTTTTTTGTGAGACTAATTTCCATGTTCCAAGGGCGAGTCGAACTTGGTTGATAATTTAATTTATACCTAGAATGAGCATTTGCAGCTCTCACGGCGTGCGGCAATGGCCTCCGTCCGACACGGAAGGGGACATTGAGGGACAGAACGCTCTCTTTGCAAACAGCCAGGGCGCACCAGGTAGAGACAGACTGCAGAACAGCTACAACCTCAGACGAGTCAGAGTCAGTCATACAGAGTGTGCTCCCCCGTTTCATTGTGCAGAAAATGCAGCAGGCTGCACGTCAGAGGGTCGGATGACTCCACCGCCGATTAAACAGTCTCGTCACTGACGTTTGAACGGCCTCTCCTGCCCAAACATGCTGCGTCACCGTCGCTAAATCCAGACTCATCATCAAAATAAACCTTTAGTGTCTGCTTCACTAAGACACACGTGGTGAAAATAGAAACGGAGTGGGTTTGCAACGATTTTGGTCTCGGCCCCCATCGTGTGTCCATCACGGCCCACTAAGAAAACCCGCCGGGCTCCTCATCAGAGAAGGGACCTGGAGACATTCGTATGTAGCCCCTGATCGAAAAATCTGGGGCCGCTAGAGCCGGCCCTTCGAAGATTGCCTTCCCTCCCGGTTGACAGCCCTTAATAGCCTCCCCAAGCTCCTTCACTACTTAAGGCCTTCTATCGTAACCCTAGTATCGCACCGACACACGGGTAGCCTTTCTCTCCCATCAACCACGCACTCCCATCTATGTCCTCATTGTTCCTACAGATACGGAAGTCAAATTCCTTAGCCTGTGTTAGTAATCCTTATTGCGAAAGAGAATAAATGGGAGACATACCATGGGGCTTTTGAGGTTTAGGATGACGCAGTCGGCTTTCGGCGGCGAGAGAGTAGCCCACAAGAGAAAAGCCCACGGAAGCTGCGGGCTAGGCTGCGGGCTAGGCGACGGCGACGACGGTCGCGAGGTGCCGGTTGGGAGGAGTCGGTGGTCATGAGATTGACCTTGGCTGCTTCGGCGGCGTTTGCGACAGAGGAGACAGACGCCGAGGGCGTAGTAGACACTGCCACGGCCACTTTGGCAGCGTCCGCAGTGGGAGAGGGTTGAGGGGCCTTGATGGCCACGGGAGGATCGCGAGGGGTAGGAAATGGACCCGGACCGAGCAGCTCCCAGTTTCCTGGCGGGAAGTGTCTAGCAGCGTGCTCTACTTCCTCGATGGTCATGTGCCCTCCCGGTAGGCCCGGACCGTGCCTGGGAGCTTGGTACCGCTTGAGTAGGGCAAGAATGCTGGTGATGTCGGGTTCTGGGCCTACTTCTTCCATCTTGAAGTTGAAGAAATTTTGAAGGGGAAGATGACAAAGGGGAAAGCAATCTGAGCGAGGTTGTTGATGCACTTCTGCAGGCGGTTGCCAATCGCTCGCAGCTGGCAGTCACTCGCAGCTGGCAGTCATTTCATCATGCAGGTCCCCACTTCAGCAGCTGCCTGCAGCTCTGCAGCTTCGCTCAGCTTCTTCTTGTTGGAATAGTAGCATACCCTAGGTAGTTAGGTAGGTACTGTACAAGAAGACCAGCGCCTTAGCTTCATCACCATACGAACATTTCAACAGCTTTATCATAGTTTTCCATGTACCGTAGAACGAGGAGAAATAACTCTCCAACAGCTGCGAGTAGGGGGTTCGGAAGAGGAAGTTCAAGAGGAAGTCGATGAGGAGAATCAAGCGGTGGGTGGCGGGGTGGAACAGTCTGAATGAGTCACGGTAACAACATCATCGTTGTTGAAGTTGCTGCAGTCGTCGTCGTTGAGGGAGGAGGGAGAGGCGTGGGAGGAGATGGCGCTGAGAGCGCGAGCCAGGTCTGGATCGGTTCTTAAAGGGAGTGTCTATCGTGTGGGCCAACTCTTGAAAGGCTGCATGCACTCCCGTTATTAGAAACGCGACTTCGACCACAAAGTGTCTCTGGTGGTATGAAACGGTCGAAGACATGCAGATCTTTCGAACGAAACGAACCGTGGTGGAGAGAGAGCAGGGCTTTAAGATCGACTGCTATGCGCACGAAACGATCCATACCCTTGTCGAAATCTCCAGGCCTGCATGCTTTCAAAGGGGTCAATTTGCTCATGTCATTGTGGAAATACGAAAGACTGGAAATCAGTATTCGACGCACCCATTCCGATTCGTTCGCCTCCCACTGACCGTTGGACGCAATCCCGAGTTAGAAAAGCCAGAGCATTGGCGATCAAGATTCAA